TGCATGTCTGCTGACTTTCATTCACCCGGTGGGACAGCAGCGCTCCAGCTGCGCAGCACCGTGCAGAACTTTTCCTCCTCGCTCTCTTAACAGATGAAAAAGGAGGCTAACAGCAGACATTGCTTCACAAAAAATAAAAATCAAAAGCACGTATTGCTTCATCTGCAGGCTGCAGCTCAACCGAGGAGTAACGGCGTCTCTACTGTTATTAAAAGCTGACACAGGTCTGTCCTGAGCGCACAGAGGAGCTTTGTTTACGTTTGTAACACAGAAGTAGAGCCGAACGTTTACAACACTGCGCATGTCCGGACTTTTATTCTGAATAAAACTCCGGTGCATGTAAACACTTTTCATGATCAGATTGTGTCCATGTAAACGGTATATTCGGATTATTTAATCTGAATACATTTCAATCCGATTAAAACATTTTGTGTATGTAAACATAGCTGGTATAATTTTACTTATTAAAGCTCATAATCTTACCACTTGAAACATCACCAGCCCTGAAGCTGCTGGTAGACATCACGGTTGGAATTATCAAAGGTTTTTGACACCTGAGAGACACCGTAGCAACTCCTTTGTGTTTGGAAGTGGGGGGTGGGGGTGGGGGGAGGACCAGGGAGGATGATTCGACCACTCAACCACTAGATGTCGCTGAAAACAACAAATCCTACACACTGTGCCTTTAAGAAATTTGGCTTAATTCACGCGATTTTATCCATTTTGTCACATGACTGGAATATTTTCTTTTGATCTTACCTCAGCCAAATTTAATCAGGAAGTGGCATCAAATGGGGACAATTTAATAAAGAAAACCATAGTTTTTGATTTTTGGAACAATGTTATTTTCACGATGATTCTTCTTTCTAAATCTAAAGAAACATCAGATCCTTCTCTACAATCTGTGTTGTTAGCCATTGTAGCAATGCTCTGGTCACATGCAGACATTCCCCTTTAAAAGCACTTCCTGTTTCTTCACAAACAAAAATCTCAACAACTGTTAGTCTCAGCAACATGAATTTTTAGCAGTATGTTATCAGTGTTAACTTTGCAAAAATGCATTCATATTTATTACAAAAATTTGATGTCACAGGCCCTTTAAAATACAGTTTAAAAATAAAATATTAAAACAATTCATAAATATGACTTAAAAACAGATCAAGTTGTTTTGAAGAAGTGGCAGTTATTCATTGTTACAAAACTGTTTCTCCTTCAGAAAATGTCTCAGTCTTCAGCTTAAATTTTCAAGTTTTTGTTGATGTGGAAAAAACAGTGAGGAAACTTCCAAAATAAAGTCAAAATCTTGCTGATGAAGGAAAGAAGAGGTCAGGCATGTGACTGGAGCTAATGTGCATCAGAGCAACAAGTTGCTTACTTATCATTTCTCAGACTAGTCTGCCAAAAAATAAGAATTTAAAAAACTGCTGATAGAGTTTAAAGCAAAATGCCGTTGCCTTTTTTTATTTTTATTTAATTATTTCCCCTTTTATCAAAACTGTTATTTTTGTGTTTTTTATGTCTTGGAAAAAGGTGACTCATTAGCGTCCACTGCCATGAAAAGTGGACGATCATGTGTTTGCTCAATTATCTGTCTGTCTGTAAGCAAAATATCTGATGAACCACTCAACAAATTTTAACAAAACTCCCTGAAAGTCATCATTGGATGTGCATTTACAGTTGATTAGGTTTTGGGGCCAACCATATTTAATTTTGCTACAACAACTAAGTGACCTTAGAAAAACACAATGATAGTCACTTTTACAGATAATGAGTTTTGTTTGGTGTAGTAGCAGAGATCCATCTCCCGTTTTTACTCTAAGCAAAAACTGATGAAGAAGGGGGTCTGCAGTCACTAAGTGGGAGTTTCTTGTTGTGTTGAAGAAATTTACAAGATATGATTGGTCTGTTTGACTTTTGTGGGCGTAGTTTGTTAAAGACATGATTGGTCAGACTGACAGTTTTGGGTGGGGATTAAAGCACGCTTGGTCGAACCGGCCAGAAAGCGCCTAGATTTTAAATATAAATGTTCACTCTTGTTATAACTCGAGACAGGAAGTATCTTAGCCACATGGAATTTGATGTGAATAAATTATGTTTACATGTTCACAGTAGGTTTTTCTTCCTTTGCCCCACAACAGAAGTCAATCCGACCAATCACAGTTTGGACAAACTCCGCCCACACAACCAGAACGTACTGCAGAGAGCCCTGCTTGAAAACTTGTTTTTTAGTGTCGACGTCAACGCTGAAAATCTGTTAGCAAAATATCTTACAAAACACTGCGTGGATTTTAATGACTGTGTCCTGAATGCCTCATAAAGTAATCATTGGATGTGCTTCTGAAACTCGTTAACTTTTGGAGCTGATTCAAGATGGCCACCGCCACTAATAGACCTTTGTAAACAAAAAATGCCTATAATTCAGTCATTTTTATAGATCCCGAGCTAAAATTTGGTGTGGTAATAGCTAAAATGTATCCCTAACAAATACTCTTAGCGACACCTGATCATACACAACTTATGTTTGAAACATTTCCATGAAAGTCATTGGGTGATGCGCATTTCTTCAAATAAGGTTGTGTCCATTGTCATTCATGAATAATCGGACAGCCTTGATCACTTTGTACATTTTTACACAAAGTGTGGCTGAGCCTCGTGTTGGACCAAATGTTTTATTTTGGTCCCCCAGCTAGCTGAGTTTGATATCTCCCGCTAACCCACTCTACACTCAGCTCTGCAGTAAATCCTTCTAAAACTGGCTCCTGTGTGAGTTATCAAAGAGGAATTAAAGGGATCTGAGAATATAGGTAGAAATTTCTATTAACTATAAAATGTGCCGAACATGAAAATAGAGACATGGCATTAATTGACAGCAGAGAAAAGTGCAGCTGAAGTGGGGCTGACAGGATGGTGAGGGTTTGGGTGACATGAGGCCAAGAGTAGGTGAACAGGGAGCAAAAGAAAAAAGGAAGAGGCTCACTGAGGGGGTGAGAGTGATGGACGGGGAAAGTGATGAAGAAGGAGGCAAAGATGGAAGGAAACCAGAGAGAGCGAGAGAACGAGATGGAAGAGAGATTAAATGATTCTGTAATCCAGCAGGGAGACAGGCAGGGGGGAGGAATGTACAGATTGGAGCTGTCTCACAATCACAGGTCAGGTGGTCCCTGCAGGGCCTGAACACTGGGCATCAAGAAGAAAATGAAATTACGTGCAACTGAATCCAGAGATGCAACAAGCTGTAAAGAAATTTAGGGATAACCTGCATCGTTCGCAGCGAGCCGCCCTATTAGAGCTGACGTTGAACCAAATCGCGCTGGTTGTTTGGCCCATTCTGCGGGCTACGGGCCTCTCGTTTGTAGCAAGTTTGTTTGGAGACGTGCTAATTAAAAGGGCTTGTTTAACAGCCCATTTCAGCGCGGTAACTGGAACGTAGTTAAAGCCATACAGCGTAATGATGGCATTTATACACTGGTGGAGAAGTTAAAGGCAGCTTTGATTGCTCGAGTAATAAACCCGTTTTTAAACGGACTGAAGCGGTGCTAACATCCTCTGCAGGGGCCGGGCTGGTCTCCTATACGTTCCTCCTTTGTTTAACTGATAGCACTTGGAAATCAATACAGGAGCCCCTTTTTTTCAATTAGGCTGCAGTTCATTAGTCATTGGTCACTAACACCCCCCCTCACACCCCCAAATCTCATTGTCTTTGCAGTCAAAACCCGTACAAATCAAGTCCCCTGACATGGTTTCACTATGTGGGGCCCTGAGCCTCACCTGTCCACCACCAGCCTACCTCTTATTTATTTATTCATTCATCTAGTTATTTCTATTGTATAAGGTTTGAAATGATTCACCACGAAATTTAGTCAACAACAAGGACTGGCTCTGGGTTGCAATTTTAACAGCACTCAAGCAAAACACTCAAATACCATCACAGCCAATCAGAGGAGTCGCCCAATCAGAGCCGCGGCTCTCCGCTTTCCTCTCTGCTGTGGAGTGATGTTCAAAAGCCGACACGTTCAGGCCTGTGCGCGTGAAATGTCGCCTCGTGTCTGCACCCCCGGACAGACAGACAGACAGTCAGACAGTCTGTGCCCCGGCTCAGGTAAAGACCCTGCTCTGTGCCCCCCCACACCCACACCGCTGCTGCTGCACACAGGTCTCCTTCCTGACACTTTTCTTTGTTTCAAACTGCCGGAGCGCGGCACGGCTGGCTCACATTTTGTTTTTAGAGCTATTGTGTCTTTATTTTTTTTATTTTTTTATTTTTTTATTTTTTTGCCCGGATTAGTGCGCGCTGACAGACGCACATCAGGCACCTTTCTGGCCCGGAGCCCAGGCGGGCATCTTCCCCTCTGCAGAGAGAGGGGAACCATGATTCCCTAAAAAACCCGTGCGTAAAAACTTCACGGTGGGGCTTTGAATTCCTCTATTCTGGTGCGTGTGCGCGTGTGTGCAAAGCCTAATATAAACGCAGCTCAGCAGGTCCATTTTCTGAGAGGTCCGGAAGGTAAGGCTGCATTAAACCCGGTCCCACTGAGCTTCATTTCATTCCTCCCCCCCCCACCTCCTCTGGGTCCAGATAAATCTGCTGTGGAGCCACCAGCCCCGGCTCGGTCCTGGCCGGCCGCGCCGTCAGGGGACGTGCCGGGTCATCCACACATCCCTCTCCCTCCAGCATTCCTCCATATCCCCGCTGCTCCGCGCGCAGCTGAGGGCGCAGGGGGCGGTGGGGGAAACGGAGCGCACAGAAGCCCCCCCATACACACACACACACACCGCGTCCCTGAAGCCAGCAGCTCCACCGGGGAACTTTTCTCTCGCCTCCCCCTGACATTACATCAGTGCTCCGCTCCGTGCATTCCGTGTCCACAGACGTGCTGATCATCATCATCATCATCATCCGGATGAATTATCGGGGAATTTCATGCGCCCGAGCGAAACACTGACGGCATGCACAAACACAGAGAGAGGCGCGAGCGCCCGAGGAGGCGCGTTGTACTCACGATTTGAGAGGGTTCTGCACCGCTGTGGCCATTTTGATAATAGTATGATAGAATGCAACACCGCAGAGCCCGGTATTGTACATGTAATGTAGCAGCTATTTCAATTTCATTCATTCTCAGGGGCTGCGGCTGCAGCGAGCAGCCAATGGGAGGCGGGAGCGCTCTGTGACAGCTCTGGGGAAGTGTAGTTTTTGGCGCATGTCTGCAGGAAACACACGGAGGCTGCATGTACTACAAGTACCGGCGGGGGTAGCGGCTCCGGTGGACCACAGGCCCGCCTTGGACTTGGAAGGGGGCAAAGCCAACAGCCCCCCACCCCC